GCACTCTTTCCATAGTCGTGAGAAGGATGATGGGGACTTGGCCCTGGTGATAGCTGTCAGGTTAGCAGGAATTGAATTCTGGATATTCTGAATTCCAGATGCGTTGTTTGTTTTTGGACACACGCAGTGGTGTCAGGACTTACTTTGAGCTTTACACTCAGGGATCACTCTTAGGGATGCTCAGGGCACCATATGGAATGCCGAGGATCAAACCCTACCTGGCTGCATGCAAAACAAGTGCCCTATGCGACGTAGTATCTCTCCAGCCTCCTCTGGATATATTTTGAAGGTCTAGTTGGAGAATTAGCTTCCAGAATGGACGTGAGGCATGAAACAAGAGGAGATGGGTCAATATTTTCTAGGTCCAGTGGCTGAACGTTTTAAGTAATCGCCTACTGCTGGGCACGTAGAAAGCTTCCCTCTTTCCGCAGGTAGATGAGGAGGCTGTACTTCTTCCAGAACACCTACCCTGACGTAGATTTAATATATATATTAAAGCCTTGTTCCTGACGCCCCATTCGCTCTCAATGGAACGACCATCTCCGAATGCAACAGCTATGTGTACCTAGGTCGAGAGGTCAACATGACAAATGACCTGGCACCCGAGCTGCGCAGGAGGAAGAGAGCGGCTTGGAACGCCTTCAAGAACGTCGAAGAAATAGCTAAGAGGACGAAGAACCTCCGGCTCCGGGCACATCTCTTTGATTCCACTGTTCTTCCTGCATTAACATATGCCTCAGAGACCTGGGCCCTACGCAAACAAGATGAGAACGCCATTCAGGTCTCCCAAAGAAGAATAGAAAGAGCTATGCTTGGAATATCACGTTTCACTCAAATGAGAGAACGAATCCGGAGTTCTGACATCCGTCGACGATCAAGGATCAGGGACGCTGTCTCATATGCCAAGGTGTCAAAAATCAGATGGGCTGGTCACGTAATGAGATTTAAAGACGACCGCTGGACTAGAGCTGTTACCGACTGGATTCCACGGGATGTCAAAAGACCGCGTGGCCGCCCACCTACCAGATGGTCAGACTTCTTCATCAAGATCATGAACGATCGGCTTGAGGCTCTTCATGTTCCCAGATGCCATTGGGCTACACTGGCATGCGGCAGGGACGAATGGAGACGTTACTGGCGCCCGCTCGAGCAAATCGACGACTAAAGGGAAGTTAAGTGATTAAGTGAAGTGATATATATATATATATATATATATATATATAAAGAAAATTGTTGGCAGGGGGGCTTTCTGGCATGCTTGCCTACTTGGCTTGGGACAGCGTTTGAAGGCGCGGGCTCTAGTTCCCTGTCACCCACAGGGTCCATGGGGCCTTCAGGGCCAGTACCTGACCCAACCAGGCAGGGTACATGTCATTTCCCCAGCCCAGCGGATCAGCCCTGAGCGGCCCCTCCCTAGCCAGGCTCAGGCGCGCTCTTGGCGCTGAGGCTGTTTGCGCCAGACTGGAGGGGCGGGGCCGCCGACCGGGATGGGCGTGGCGAGCGCGAGGACTGGGCGTGTCGGGGGCGGGGACTGGGCGTGGCGAGAGGCGGGGCTCGGAGTCAGCCTTCGGGGCGGAGGCGGGTCCCGGGAGCCAGAGCCCAGGCGGACGGAAGAGCCAGAAGTCTTGAGTGACCCCGCAGCAGAATCCAGGTGCTGACCGCACCGTGGTGAGTGTCCCTGGGCCCAGCGCGGGGAGTGATAGAGAGCCGGTGGGCACCAAGGGTTCCCTGCCACCCCGGGACTGCGGACCCCTGTCTTCAGAGCTGCCCCGGGACAGCTGTCTAGGTTTCTCCCCTCCGAGAGTTCAGCGTCTGAAGGAAAGGCAGAAGCAAAGGGGGTCTTTAGCAGTTAGGGAGCTCGCTGGTGGGTTTTGGTTCCGAAGGATCAGAAGCGTCCGTGGGCAGCACCTCCAGGGTCCAGCCGCCTTTGAGTCTGATGAGGCAATGATTTGGGAGTTATTGGGGGTGGGGGGGTCAATGGAGAGAGATCCTGCAAAGTTGGGTGCCTGAGACTGGAGAGGGGAAGCCAGGCTTAGGGACTCCAAGAGACCTCTCCTCTCTCTGAGCCTCGGTTTCCCCTGTGCTTTGCAGAGAAGGGAGGGATGATTGATAGGAGGTTCTTGGTGGAGAGTGCGGGGTGAGGGCAAGTGTGAAGGCCCTAAGCAACGTGGGGTAGGGGCTGTTTGGGGAATACAGAGGACTGCTGTCCAAGCCCACAGACCAGGAATCCTGCTGGGAAGGACCCAGGAAAATAGAGTTGAACCCAGGCAGGCAAGAGAGGGCCTTATCTGAGGATGGAGAAATTCCACTGGGAAGCAGAAAAGCTGGGCGTGGGCAAGAACAGAGGATGGACTCATAGAGCCACAGACCCGGGGAGCATCTCCGGGGATCCCCCAGCCCCCCCGCACCTGTCTGCAGGGGAGTGGGGCCAAGACTTCAGCTCAGGCCAATCAGCTGGTCCAGGGCCCAGTGATATCTGGCTGCTCCTGGTCTCAGGATGGAAGGCAGTTGTCCTCACGTGAGCCTAGAGCTGAGGGACGTCATGGGTTGTTCCTTCCCTTTGCCCCCTGGAAGTCCCCCTTCTCTTCACATGGCCTCGCCTTCCCACCCAAGCCCAGTGATGCCGTCTCTGAAGGAGAGCCAGGAAGGCAGTGACCATAGACTGACTTTAGACTGCCTCAGTTTACTGCAGGTGCCACAGGGACAGAAGACAGAATATTAGGGGCAGTTTTATTGAAACCATAATGAAAGAACCTGTGTCTTTTTCTTGCTTTCCCATTTACTTGTTCCCCTCCCTACCCCCAAATTATTCAAAGCCTTATTTGCGGTTGGAATCATTTTTTTTTTTTAAGCAAAAAAGCAAACAAGCCCGAAAAAGGAACCAAGCCCTTGTCTCAAATGCTCTCAGAGCATTCGCTGCCCCGGGAACCTTAGCATCTGGCTTGCCCAATCTGAGCGGAGTCCATCCCAGCAGATGCACTAACAAAGGACAAATTGTCCCCTTCACACTTGCTCAGAGTAAAGCAAGAGGACCAGGGAAGTGGCGACTCCACCGGCATGAGTGGGTTTAAACACTGCATGCAGCAGTTAATGGCAGCCCTATCCCCTTTCTGATAGCTGCAGAATGACTTAGTCCCTGTCCATTGCAAAGGCGGAGAGCATGGTAAAGCAACCAAACCCCCGCTCGAGGGAACTAGAGATGGTGCAGCAGCGAGGGAAGAACTTGCTTTCCATGTGGCCAGCCCCAGGTTCAATCTCTGGCACTCCAAATGGTCCCCCAAGCACTGCCAGGAATAAGCCCGGAGCACAGTCCGGTGTGGTCCCACCTTCCTCCCCATCCGAATGCAACATGCACCATACTGGTGTTACTGGTTCTATCTTCGAGGACTTTTTCCAAGACTTTCCTTGATCTCGGAATACCTCCAGCTATACCAAACTCTTGAAGCAAAAAAACGAGGCAGGTAGCAACAGGCATGTGTGCACTCATCTGAGAGAAACACTGCTGGCCTGTGATTCCAGCAGCATGAGTCCGGAAGTGAGAGAACTTTTGGTCTCATTCCCAGCAGAAGCAGAAGCAGACGGAGGCAACGCAGGATGCCCCGAGCAAAGCCCTGAGCTGCCTCGTGAGAACTAGCAGTGGTTGTTTCAGTTGAGAAAGGACAAGGGCTGTCACCCTGGTCCTTGGGGATTCTCCCTGCTCTGAGGTTTCTGGAAGAGGGCCAGGACAGAGATGGGACTTTCCTGCCAGGGTGCACGGACCTAGTGCCTGCCTGAGGAGCCTTGGTGGCACTGGGTGGCCTGTGCCATGACTTTTGGGAGGGGCCTTTCCCTGCACACTCTCTGCTTTGTATCCCCCACCTCTGCCCCCTCGCCCCCCCTCCAACCAAGCGAACATGCCTGTCTCAGGGGGCCACTCTGCCAGGGTCACGGTGGCTGCCCAGGGTCAGCTGCCGGAAACTGCTGAGAATGACAGTGTCTCTCATTCTGGCTTCCGGCCCATCCGTTTGGGGTTTCCCCGGGAGGTGGGTTCTGGGGCACAGGTGGACCTGCCCATCCTGAGCCACCTGGCCTTTGCCTTCCTGCTCTGGGCCTGCTGGGCTTGGGTAGGAGAGAGGGTGTAGTGCTCAGGGTGAGTGGGGCACGCTGCCTTCCCCTTCTGAGTGTCCCAGCTCCTCATTCTTGGCACACCCCCATCAGGGCAGAGAGTGAGTCACCTGCATCTCTGGGTCCAGAGGCAGGAGAATAAGAGGGTCTGCCCCAAGACCTGAGAAGGAGCGAGGGGTGAGGGCTGGTGGCTGCACAGCTGAGAATCACTCCAGGCCATCCAGAGCTCTCTCTGCCCCTTCCTGCTCTCCTCCCCCTGCTCAGCATCACCCCTGGGTTCCAGAAGGCTCTGCTCCGGGATGCACTCCCAAGACGGCAGACGTGCAGACCCCTTTGCTGCCTCACTTTCCCCATCCTGGCCAGGACATGACTACGAGCACAGTGTCAGCAGCCTTCTCTTCCTATGTCTTGGCTGGCTTTGGGAGCATAGATCCAGAAGGTTCTAGTTTCCCCCTCCCCTCAGAGGAATTTTTTATTCAGGAACATTCCTATTCTCTTCCTCCTTCCAAGACCTTGCCCTGTGGTGCCAAACTCAGAAATGTCAGGATAAATGACATTCTGCTTGGGTGGGAAGGAAGCAACACACACACACACACACACACACACACACACACACACACACACACGGAAAGGAGTCCCCTACTCCTGGTGTATCTTCCTTTGAGAGTCCCTTTGAGGGTTTCGGAATGGCCCTGCGTTAGGGAAAGCCGTTCCTCTTCTACGTTCCATCCTACGCATGCATTCACTTTCACTTTTCCTGGGCCCTCCCTCAGCCTGTCTCCAGACCCCGTGACTGGGTGACCATTGTGACCATCGCAGGACAGGAAAGACCTCGCCCGTCGAGAGGTTTTCTCTGCTACTGGCCTGCCACTCCCAGGGCTCAAGCTCCCAGCATTCGCTTCCCTCGGAACCCCCAGAACCGAACCTGAGCACTGAGCCTAGAGCACGCCATGGACACAGACCACAGCGAATAATGTCAGGGCATCAGAGGTTTGGGGCGAGGTGAGGGCGGGTCTCTTGGGAAGAGGGAAGTGGTGGGGGGAAGGCTTCCTTAACTCAGGTACAACTTGTTTTGCACCATGATTCTTGCTTCATCTCTGCTGGGATACAGTGTCTTTAATAGCTCTGTTCTGGGGCTGCCCCTTGGGGTAGTCGGTGGGTCCCTACACAGACGCAGGCTTGGGGCACCCACTGGAGAGGAGCTGAAGGCCTGCATTTGTCCCAGAAGCTGTACCTCATTTAGCTGTGCATCCTTGCTGAGGGCACTAATCCTCTCTGTGCCTTACTTTTCCCATCCGTAACCAGGGCTGACCATTGTGCCTGCTTTCGAGTGGCTGGGAGAGTTGACTGGATTCACGCGAGAAAGCTCTCACAATGGCACCTGGCCTGTTGTGTGAACCTCACAAACACTAAGTCAAGCTGAACCATGACTGATGCATGCTGCAATGACTTGAGTCCAGCCAGCATGGAAAAAGCCCTTTCACTCTGCTGGAAAGAGAATTAATTCTGCATCCCTTAGGAGACATTGCTTTTAATATTGGTTGAAGCCTTTTAAAGTGGATTAAGTCAGGGATGAAGCCAGGATGTGGGCGCTGGGGAGCGTGATTGAATTCCTGGCTGCTTCCAACTCTGTGGGGACTTGAGGCGGTTCCTTGCCGCCTTTGAGCCTCCGTAGGAGTGTCTGTGCCATGAGGGTGGGGTTGGGGGTGGGGGGCTTGGACTACAGCTGTGTTGTGCTGAACTCCCCGATTTCCCTCCTCCAGGCGGTGATATGTGCACGCAGGAAGCTTTCCAGGCACAGAGGGGCCAGTTGGTGGGGCAGCTGGTCTCAGGCTCCCTGGAAGGCTTCGAGAGTGTCCTGGACTGGCTGCTGGCATGGGGCGTCCTCTCCTGGGAGGACTATGAGGGTCTCAGCCTCCTGGGCCAGCCCCTCTCCCATTTGGCCAGGCGCCTCCTGGACACAGTCGGGAAGAAAGGGGCGTGGGGCTGTGAGCGACTCATCGAGGCACTGCACAAGGCCCAGGCCCAAGACCAGGCCCCTGAGCTCCCGGCCAGCTGGCACCCCCACACGCCCTGTGACCTGCAGAGCCACCGGCCCGCGGTCATCAGGAGACTCTACAGCCACGTGGAGGGCGTGCTGACCCAGGCGCAGGAGCGAGGCTTTGTCAGCCGGTACGAGTGTGATGGAATCAGGCTGCCCATCTTCACGTCATCTCAGCGGGTAAGGCGCTTCCATGTTAGGGTTTCGGGACCCATGGGCAAAGGGAGCATCCTCACCTCGCCTCACGTGTCTCTGAGTGTCTGGGGGGAGACTTGGGCTGTGGTACTCTCCCTCCCAAGGGAGCCTGGCAGGTGACAGGTGCTCTGGATCTTTGGAGTCTGACTTCTGATGAGAGGAAGGGGCTGTGTGCATGCAGTCGGGGTGGGGTATGGCTTTGGATTCTGTCACTGCCTTCAGGCTCACTGAAATCAGTCTCTCTGCGGAAACGCTTCAGCCTGAAGCTCGTCTGCGCTGGTTTCCTTGTTCAAAAGACATCAGTGAAGTCCTATGGCAAACTCAGGGCATTGATTTCCATCATGTAGCAGTGTCTAGTACAAAGTAACCCACACCCCGAGTTCCCATCAGGTCTGAAATGAAAGATAGCTGTGCACTTTTGTTGGTTAGTTTTGGGGCCACATTCTATGGTGCTCTTACTGCCGGCAGAGCTTGGGGAACCAGAGGTGCTGGAGGTTGGTGTGGGGTTGGCAATTCTAAGGCAAGTGCCCTACCTGCTGTACTAACTCTCTGGCCCCTTATGCGCCTTTCACTGTTATCTGGTGGTGGCTGTTTTTTTTTTTCCTCCCCAAACCTTACCCTTTACTTTTGTTGTTTTGATGTCCACAGGCAGAGCACGTGGTTGTGATGCTTGCGATGGTTACACAGTTGGTTGCAGTTTTCACACTTGTGGTGCTGGGGATCACACTCAGTGATATGGGGGGGTGCTGGGGATCAACTCATGATCTCACACATGCAGGGCAGGCACTCTACTACTGAGACACATCCTCAGAGCCCCTACTGGTGACTTAAAGAAAAAGCTCAATAAAAACAAATGATTGTACTTAATAATAATCCAGCACACTAGGTGTTAATTTTGTTTAAATGCCCATGTTGAATTTTTGGTGACATAGCATTAAATCATAGCCATTTGGATTTGGGATGTAAATGCCTTTAAAAAAATGCAACGATTTGACAGAGAGACCATGAAGACAGAAGCTTTGGGTTGTTTTGAAACTCATTGTTTTATTTCTCTGCAAAGTCATGCTCAGGATTCCTGTGATACAGCTAGTAATAGGCATCCCATTTTACAGATTGAGAAATTGAGACCCAGAAAGTACTTTGAGCTCATAGTTGAGAATAAGTAGCCTAATGTTGCGTTCATTCATTTATTATTCATTTGTTCATCAACTTACCCAGAATTTATTTAGCTACCTAGTGCTTGGTGATAGCACAGCGGGTAGAAATTTGCTTTGCACACAGCCGACCCGAGTTCAGTTCCTCTGCCCCTCTCGGAGAGCCTGGCAAGCTATCGAGAGTATCCCGTTCTAATGACAGAGCCTGGCAAGCTCCCCGTGGCATATTCAATATGCCAAACACAGTAACAACAAGTCTCACAATGGAGATGTTACTGGTGCCCGCTCAAACAAATCGATGAACAACGGGAGGACAGTGCTACAGTGCTACCTAGTACTTGGCAGTACTCTGTCTTCAAGTTTATTTTGCTCAAGAGTTCTTTGCAAATAACAGGGACTAAATAAATACTTTTTGTGAAGTATATGACTTTGTGAATGAATGAATTGGAATTGTCCTGCAGTGTTGGAATGGATTAGAATGGGAAACTAACTTTAATATTTTGTTTATTTGAAAAATAATAATTGATGACCACTTGAGTCTAGGTAAGCTTCAGTCATGACATGAAATAAACTGGTTCAAGATGAATGTTTGCAAAGCGACATGGTGTGGTCCCTTCCAATTAGTGAAATAAAAGGCATACCATGGGGGTTGGAGAGATGGTCAAAGGACTGGAGCGCATACATTGCATGCATGAGGCCTCAAGTTTGATTCCTGGCACTGAATGCCCCTCTCCCCAGCAACGTATCTCTCCAGTCTAGGATTGTTTTGTATGCACTCATAGACTGATGTTATAATTTCCTACTAAGAGATGTTGCCATGAGGGGCTGGAGCGATAGCACAGCGGGTAGGGCATTTGCCTTGCACGCAGCCAACCCAGGTTCGATTCCCAACATCCCATGTGGTCCCCAAAGCACCACCAGAAGTAATTCCTGAGTGCATGAGCCAGGAGTAATCCCTGTGCATCGCCAGGTGTGACCCAAAAAGCAAAAAAATAAATAGAGAGAAATCTTGCCATGAATTTCAAGTTAAGGGGCTGAAAGATGCTGTAAAATAAAATGAAATGTGAGTTTGAAATCTCTGTATCACTGTCCTCCCATTCTTCATCGATTTGCTCAAGTGGGCCCAATAACATCTCCATTGTGAGACTTGTTGTTACTGTGTTTGGCATATGGAATACGTCACGGGTGCCAGGTTTTGTCATGCGGGCTAGATACTCTCGGTAGCTTGCCAGGCTCTCCAAGAGGGGCGGAGGAATCGAACTTGGCTCAGCCAGGCTGGCTGTGTACAAGGCAAACGCCCCACCATTTACCAAGTGCCTGTGGGGTGTTCGGTTCTGGGTCTCTCCCTTTTGGCATATCATCTCATCTGACCCATTCTACTGCCTTCCAAGATTATTGGGCAACTACATGCTTCTCAAGAAGATACCGCATAGGCATGCCTCTGGAAGGTGGCCCAGTTAGAATTTGAATGCGGGCCTGTTTGTCACGGAAGCTCAGGTTCTTCAGCTAAGCCATAAAATGTCAGGGCTTCATAAGGTAAACTTGCTTCATTGGCCATAATAGCCTTTAACGAAGTTGAGATGGAGCTCCAGCTCAAGTACCAGTTGTCAGTCTGGCTCGTGAAACTGCTAAAATTGATAGGGCCAGGGTTCTGAGTCAAAGTTCTTTACTCCTTTACAATATTAAACTTGGGAGGATACCTATAGAAAAAAAATAGTTTTAGATGCTATAGCATAAACATGTGCTCATCTCCCAGATGAAGATATAGAATGTTTCTGCTCTCTTTCTCAATTACAGTTACTGGTGGGAATGAAGACTGACTTTTGTACTAATTGCTTCTTTGCATTTCTTTTCAGTTTTAGCACCTTATCCAGTAATTCCCTAAATACTGTGTTGTTTTATTTTGAAAGACTGAGTAGAAGGCATGAACCTACTTATGTCAGGAAGCTATCTGTGAATGCTTTCTTCCCATTCCCCTCCCACCCTTCCCCTGTTTGAAACTTTATTTAAACAGTCATTCCAGGTGCTGGAGTGATAGCACAGTGGGTAGGGCATTTGCCTTGCATGCAGCCAACATAGCCAACCCGAGTTTGATTCCTCTGCCCCTCTCGGAGAGCCCGGCAGGCTACTGAGAGCATCTCGCCCTCACGGCAAAGCCTGGCAAGCTACCCGTGACATATCCGATATGCCAAACACAGTAACAACCAAGTCTCACAATGGAGATGTTACTGGGCCTGCTCGAGAAAATCGGTGAACAACGGGAGGACAGTGACAGTGACAGTGACATTTCAGGTATTCAGTATTCCAACACCAATCACCAGCGTGACATTCTTTCTCTCCACCAATGTCTCAAGTTACCCAGTCACTCCTCCCCCTCCTTAGCAGGCACAAAATAATTTATTTTATATTGCTTGTTACAACATAGCTCATAATGAGATTACTAAAGTTATTGTCTGAGGATTTGCTGAGCTGTTAGGAGCTGGTTGAACCTTCTGTGCTGTTGTTTTTGCTAGTTGAGCTAAGTGGGCTTCTACACAACTTTCCCATCTAAATTTTTGTGTTCCTTAATGTCTGTGCCAACTTTGGAACTGTCGTGTGGTTGTGTATGTGGCCCTGTGCTCCTGCAGCTCAATCACTAGGATGATTCAGCAACATGGTGTGTCAGAGCAGCTGGGGCTTCTCTCTGAGTTGGGTTTTGGGACCCAGCTGTTTAAATGTGAATGGAAGCGGATGTGGGTGGGTGGGATGCCGGGCCCTCCAACAGGACAAGAACTTGGCTCGCACCATCCCAAGAAGGTTCTAGTAACGTGGGCCTAGAGATCAGTCCTAGCAGACTGGTTCAGCATGGCGGCTTCGCTCTCTGTTCATTTCTTCTTAGGGGAAGACCCCAGGGCAGGGAAGCCTGAATCGCAACAAGGTCTTGGACCGTGGTTTGTATTTTCCTTGTTTGGGAAGTCAGGGGCCACAGTCACGATTGGTTTCTGAAAATGCAAGACTTATTGAAGGTCTGTTAGGCAGATGTTAATCAGGACCTGGATGTCTGGTTAGAAAATCGTTGGTCAGAAGAAGGGACTGCTTTGGAGGTTCACTTCTTAGCTTTCCAAAGCCAGGCCCCAGGAACAGAGCAAAACTAAATACTGTGTGGTTGAGATGAATGATCCTTAGCTGACCCCAGCCACAGGGGTGGAGAGGAAGAATGATAAAACTGTGGTGAAGAAAAGCCACATTAGATAAAGTTTAGGGCTAGGCATGCCTAGACATCTTGGAGATAACAGCCCTATCACGCCTGAGTCTTGGACTTCTTTTTCAGAACTGGGGGCCCTTTTATTTTATTTTATTTGGAGAGGCACTGACAGTGCTCATGGCTTATTCCTGGCTCTGTACTCAGGGATCATTCTCGGTGGGGCATGAAGGACTATATGGGGTACCAGGGATCAAAACTAGACGGGCTATGTGAGAGGCAATTGCTCTATCTGCTGTACTATTCTTCTGGCCTCAGATGGTGATCCTCTCCCTGTCATCCGGAGTCTTCCTATCAGAGCTCTTCTATATCTTGAAGACTTCCTTTTTTATGGTTTGCTTCATTTGGGAAAATTATCACCTCCCATCAGTCCTTTAGAATGAATGTAGGGGATTGTCTCTTACCAGTCTAAAAGTTTGCTCATGTTGGAATGATAGTCTGGCCAGGTATAAATTTGTTTTAAATTGGTCATTATTTCCCTTTAGGATTGTGAGAAAACTCTTTTTTTCCCTTTTCTTTTTCCTTTCTGTGTCATGATGGTGCCAAGGATTGAACACTGGGCCTCCCCCATGCGAGGCAAGTACTCTGCTGCTGAGCTGTATACCCCCAGACAGTGTAGTTATTTTTTTTGTTGAGATGAATTTCTAAGCCATGTTATAACATTTTCAGATGCTGGTCAATTTTCTTTTGGTCCTGAACAACCTGAAATTTTATATGTGTATGTGTGAGTGTTCTTCTGCTATGTCACAGAAGGCACTTGGAATCTGGAAATTCACATCTTCTTGCCCTAGACTGATTTATTATTTATTTTTATTTTCATTTTCTTATCTTTATGAAACTGCTATCTTATATTTGGTTTTGGGGCAACACATGGCATGTGCTCAGGGGACCATATGTAGTTCTGGGGATTGAATGGGGTAGCATGTAAGGCAAGTACCCTACTCCTCTCTCTCTCTCTCTCTCTCTCTCTCTCTCTCTCTCTCTCTCTCCCTATTAAATTACTATTCTTTGACTTTTCTGCATAATTGGACTGATCATTTAATCTGTTTCTACTTCTCATCTATTTGCCATCTCTTAAGTAGAATTAATAGTAGGTAGTTGGAGATGCATGTCCATTGATCCCAGGAACGGTTCAGATTGGAGATGAAAGTGTGGAAGTCATGGGCAGAGTGCATATTTCAAGTCACAAAACTTGGATGGAATAGCCTTCTTTTCAACTACATGATTTCCAGTTTCTAGAATTGTTTATATTTTAAAAATAAATTATTCATTTGTCTGTTTGTTTTTGTGCCACATCTGGTGGTGATCAGAGGTTAACCCTGGCTCTGTGCTCAGGAATCACACACCTGACAGTGCTTGGGGGATCATATGGCAGGCCAAGGATTGAACCCCGGTTTGGCCACAGGCAAGGCAAGCACCTTATCCACAATTTTTCCTATTTTTATAGGCTTATGGGCTTAAGTTTTTTGCTGTTCACCTTTTTTAGTGGATTTTGAGAGGGAGCCAGTTTGGAAATGTGTGTGTGTATGTGTGTGTGTGTGTGTGTGTGTGTGCGTTTCTCAAATATGTAATACTATATTGATTTCATTAAACTCATCCTTTTGTTTCATTGTTTTCCTGGTCCTTTGTTTGCTGAAATCAAGATGCATATGAAATTGTGGCAATATGGGGCCAGAGCAATAGTACTATGGGTGAGGCATGTGCCTTGCATGTAACTGGCCAGGGTTTGAATCCCGCATTTCATATGGTCCTCCAAGCATCACCAGGAGTAATCCCTGAATGCAGAGCCAAGAGTAACTCCTGAGCCATCACCAGGTGTGAGCCAAGAAGCCAAAAAAGAAAGGAAAGAAATTGTGGTGATAAGTAGAAACCTACCCACAGAAACCCACCAGCCTTTCTAGTGAAGTAATGACTGTTTATTTCCCCATAGGCGAGAAGGCTCCTTGACCTCGCCACAGTGAAGTCAAATGGACTGGCCACCTTTCTTTTACATCATATTCAGGAGTTGCCAGTTCTTTCCTCTCTGTCTTTTGAAGGTATGTATGAATGCATGTATGTGTTCTCATTTTACCAGAAAGGGAAAGGAAGGCTGTGGAGACTAATGATAAAGAGCATAATAGCACCAAGGTCTCATTAATCTATTGGGAGTATTTAAAGGCTGAATGTGTGTAATGCTGACTCTTAGTTTTACTATTTCCTTCACTGGAGGACAGCTGGAACAAACTCAGATTGAGGACATACTACAGGGTTTTTGTTGTTGTTGTTGCTGCTGCTGCTGTTTGTTTTAACAGTCTCATTATCCATAGCCCAAAAAATACGAATTCATTTTCTGAGATGGGGCTGTATCTCTTGATTTCTGTGATTTAGCTGTTTCCTATCAGAAATCTGAGACCCAAGTTGAATTAGATAATGTGTGTGTCTCTCATTTCACACCATCACTAACCTGATGGGAACGTCTAGGATAATCTAATGTGAACATGCCGGGCTTCCTGCCTGGTACTTTCTTTACACTGTTGTTGTGACAAGTCTGGTAAGCCAGTGGTGTTTCCTCCACTTTTCAGATGCAAAAACTGGAGCAGGGAAGTTGAGTGAAGAGGTGAAGGAAGATGGGCCTGGATATAGATGATTTGTACACATATTATTTTTTCTTGGGAGAACAGATTGTCAATTGTACAGATGATGCAAATCTGAGGGTTTAGTTCCCAATTACTGCAGGATAAAATCCCCAGCCCAGAGGTCACCTGAACTGTGTGTGGTGCTGGCAGATGGATTTATCATCCTGAGCTCTTCTCTATAGGCAGCAAGATGCCTGGGGGTATTGAATGGAAGCCTATTTTTGGCACCAGGTGTGCACCGCACCACCCACCTGGATATACAGCATCTAACCCAGATATACAATATCTCTCCCAGGGGTACATCATATTACCCAAGTGTGCACTATCTCACCATGATATGCACTATCTCTTGCAAGTGCACATAATCTCACCCAAGTGTTCATCATCTCTCCTGGGTGTGCATCTTCTCATCTAGGTACCCACCATATTACCCAGGTGTGCACCATCTCTCCCAGTTATCTACCATCTTACCTGGCTATTCACCATTTCACCCAGGCATACACCTTCTCTCCCAGATGTGCACCATCTCACTCAGGTATCCACCATCTTACCCAGGTGTGCACCATCTCTCCCAGGTGTGTACCATCTCTCCCAGACATGCACCATCTCATCCAGGTGTGCACTATCTCTCCCAGACATTCACCATCTCACCCAGGCTTGCACCATCACTCCCAGGTACTCACCCTCTCTCCTAGACATGCACCATCTCTCCCAGGTATCCACTATCTTACCCAGGCATACACCATCTCTCCCAGGTATGCACCATATCACTCAGGTGTGCACCATCTTTCCCAGGTACCCACCATCTCACTCAGGTGTGCACCATCTTTCCCCTGTACCCACCATCTCACCCAGGTGTGCACCATCTTTCCCCCGTACCCACTATCTTACCCAGATGTACACCATCTTTCCCAGGTACCCACCATCTAATCCAGGTGTATACCATGTCTCCCAGGTGGGCACCATCTCTCCAAGGTATCCACCATCTTATCCATTTGTGTACTATCTCTCTTAGGTATCCACCATCTTACCCAGGTGTGCACCATCTCTCCTAGGTATCCACTATTTCTCCCAGGTGTGCACCACCTCACCCAGGTATCCACTGTCTTACTCAGGTATGCACCATCTCTCCCCAGTACCCACCATCTCCCCCAAACATGCACCATCTCTCCCAGGTACCCGCCATCTCATCCAGGCATGCACCATCTCACCCAGATATTCACCATCTTACCCAGATATTCACCATCTTACCCAGGCATGCGCTATCTCTCCCAGGAATGCACTTTCTCTTCCAGATATGCACTATCTCATCCAGATATCCACCATCTCTCCCAGGTATCCCAGCCAGATACCCACCACCTCTCCCAGTTGTGCACCATCCCTCTCAAGTAGGCATCGTGTCACCTGAGTGTGACCCATCTCACTTGAGTACACAATTAAAAAATTAGGGCACCATAGGGATTGCCCCATACAGACAACAGGGCTGCTGGGTGTTGATGTCATCAGGCATAACTGGTAACTACACATTTAAACACCACGACCCGGGAATAATCACCAGGTTGCCAACTGTAAAGATGACATAAACACTGTGTCTGCTTTTAAAATGATCAATACATGTTTCGGTTGTTTTGTTGTTGTTTGTTTGTTTGTTTGCAGTGCTCAGGGCTTATTCCTGCCTCTGGATTCAGGGATCATTCTTGGAGGATGATCCCTGGTGCTGCTTGAAGGACCATAAGGGTGCTGGGGAATCGAACCTGGGTTGTCTGTGTTCAAGGCAAGCAAGCACACTGCCCACTGTACTACCACGTCAGCCCCGATCAATACTTTGTTTTTTTCTGAAGAATTTGGCATCATTGTGGAGATGATATGAGACTGGAAAGCCCCGTGGAAGTCAGAGTACTAGAGTGAGCATTTTGTGGGGTTTTCTGTTCAGTGCCCTGGTATATCCAGAGACCATTAAAAGTGATAATCGCTCTGGGGATAGCAGAGGAGATACAAACGAGGCACCTCCTTGTTGTTACTGTAACCTCAGCTTCGGAGTGTTAAAAAGGCTGTATTAAAATTACGTACAAACCTTTCGATTGAGAACAAGTAGGCTGCATTTGGTTGGGGTCCCTGAGGTTGCAACAGACTGAAGTCGCCTCTGAAGCCCCACTGTCTTAGGGCTGGGGTGACCACTTCCTGTTTTCCTGAAAAGGGGAACTCAGGAAGCAGCAGTTCTGTGGGTTTTTGGGATTTTTTTTTTTTAACCACACCTGGCTCTGTGCTCACGCATCACTCCTGGCATAGCTCTGGGGACCACATAGGTGCTGGTACTGGGGACTGAACCCCAGGCTGGCTGAGTGCAAGGCAAGCACCCTGCCCTCTGTCCTATCTTATCACTCTGACCCCAGCAGCAGTTTGATTGCATTGGCGCTGGGATGGCAGAGAACAAGCTGCAGCCCAGTGGACACACTGCAACCAAGAGAAGAGCAGGAGGAGAGTGAGAAAGTGGAGCTTGATTGAAATCTCACCTAAGTGTTAGACCTGAAGCCATGTGGCCCCAGGCCCACCCAGCTAACTAGGGTAATCTTGATTCTCATGCTGTAAATTTAATCCCTCCAGCCCAGTCCCCTGCGTGGGACTTGACCTGGGGGACTTCAATTCACCCGTGTACAAATGTTCGAAGTTAGGGGAAGGAAAATGAGCCTTAGGGAGGTCACATGATAGGAGAGATACAAACGAGGCACCTCCTCGATTCATGACTTGTGGGGCCTGAGCGATAGTACAGTAGGCAGGGTGCTTGCCTTGTACACGGCAGACCCAGGTTTGATCCTCAGCACCCCGGATGGTCTCCCGAGGCCCTCAGGAGGGATCCCTGAGCACAGAGCCAGGAATGAGTCCTGAACACCACTGGGTGTGCTCCTCTCTCAAAAATATTTGTCCCTCTTGAGAGGCAGTGTTGACTGCTGCCTCTGTCTCCCCTTTGTGAGCCCACGTTCTGCCCGCCGCCCACTGTCTGCCCCCTGCAGAGCCTCCTCACCTGCATTTTCTGCCTTCCAGATGCTGCGTGTAAGAAGTACATGTCCAAACTCAGGACCACCATCTCCGCACAGTCCCGCTTCCTGAGCACCTATGATGGGACGGAAAACCTCTGCTTGGAGGAAATATACACAGAGACTGCTCTGGAGATCCGCACGGAGCCAGGCCTGGCTGGACCCCGGCAGGAGAGTCCGTCCATCCTGGGCCTGGAGGACTTGTTCAGTGCCCGTGGCCACCTCAATCCCGACGCGGACACCGTGCTGGTGGTGGGCGAGGCGGGCAGTGGCAAGAGCACACTCCTGCAGCGGCTCCTTCTGCTGTGGGCCGCAGGCCGCGATTTCCAGGAGTTCCTCTTCGTCTTCCCGTTCAGCTGCCGGCAGCTGCAGCGCGTGGCCAAGCCGCTGTCCGTGCAGACGCTGCTCTTCGAGCACTGTTGCTGGCCCGACGTGGGCCAGCCGGACGTCTTCCAGTTTCTCCTCGACCACCCCGACCGCCTCCTCCTCACCTTCGACGGCTTTGATGAGTTCCGGTTCCGGTTCTCGGACTGTGAGCGACACTGCTCTCCCACCGACCCCACGTCTGTCCAGAACCTGCTCTTCAATCTCCTGCAGGGCAACCTTCTGAAGAACGCCCGCAAGGTGCTGACCAGCCGCCCGGACGCCGTGTCGGCCTTGCTTCGGAAGTACGTGCGGGCAGAGCTCAGCCTGAAGGGCTTCTCGGAGGAGGCCATTGCCCTGTACCTGAGGAAGCGTCACCGCGAGCCTGGCGTGGCCGACCGCCTCATCAGCCTTCTCCAAGCTACCCCAACACTTCACGGCTTGTGCCACCTCCCCGTCTTCTCATGGATGGTGTCCAAATGCCACCAGGAGCTGTTGCTGCGAGGCGGGGGTGCCCTGAAGACCACCACGGATATGTACCTGCTGATCTTGCAGCATTTCCTGCTTCATGCCTCCCCGTCAGCCACCACCGCCACCCCCGGCCCGGGGCCCTGCCCGCTGCAAGACTGGCTCCCCACCCTTCTGCACCTTGGCCGCCTGGCCCTCTGGGGCCTGGGCACCTGCTGTTACGTGTTCACAGACAAGCAGCTCCGGGAGGCCAGCGTGGAGGCGCAGGATATGACTCTGGGCTTCCTGGTGCGGGCCCAAAGGGCAGGGCCCAGCGGTGGGACGCCCCTGGAATTTCTGCACATCACCTTCCAGTGCTTTTTTGCCGCCTTCTACCTCGTGCTGGGCACCGACGTGCCGCCGTCTTCGCTCAGGCACCTCTTCAAATGTGGCAGGCCTGGGGGCCGGCTCTGGGGCCGGCTGCTGCCCATGCTGTGCCTGCCGGGCTCAGGGGCCAGAGAGGGCCACGTGGCGGCGCTCTTGCAGGAGGCGGAGCCTCACAACCTGCAGATGACGGCCGCCTTCCTGGCGGGGCTGTTGTCCCAGGAACACCGGGACCTGCTGGCCGCGGCCAACGATGACCAGGCCTCGGGGAAGGTGCTGCTGCAGCGCCAGGCCTGTGCCCGCCGCTGTCTGGCCCGCAGCCTCCGCCAGCACTTCCGCGGCATCCCTGCGGCGGTGCCCGGCGAGGCCAAGAGCATGCACGCCATGCCCGACTTCGTCTGGCTCATCCGGAGCCTGTACGAGATGCAGGAGGAGCGGCTGGCGCGGGAGGCCGTGCGGGGGCTGGACGTCGGGCACCTCAAGCTGACCTTCTGCGGCGTGGGCCCCGCCGAGTGCGCAGCCCTGGCCTTCGTGCTGCGACACCTCCGGCAACCCGTGGCCTTGCAGCTGGACCACAACTCGGTGGGCGACATCGGCGTGGAGCAGCTGCTGCCGTGTCTCGGTGTCTGCAAGGCGCTTTAGTGAGTGCTGCTGGTGGTGACCCGGGGCGGCGTCAGCCGGGTACTGAGGCGGGAGCTTGCGGTTGGGGTCCCGGAGTCCAGGGTCCGTCTCCGCCTTGCTCTGTTCCTTGGCCAGTGCATGCCTTGAGTTTCAGTGTCAGACAACATCATCCCTTAGGAATGTCCCATGTTTTTGCTCTGCTCCTCACTTCCTGGATGTCCTCGGGATTCATTTCTGGAGCTGGGGGGCTGCCCCCAGCTCTGGTCCTCGGGCTTACTCCTACATGCTCAGAAGATGTAGGTCTGAGGAGTGAAACTGGGCGTGCTGCATGCAGAGCATGAGCCCAGAATGGTCTTTTTTTTTATTTTATTTATTTATTTAGTTAGTTGTTTCTTGGCAGAGTGATAGCACAGCGGGTAGGGTGTTTGCCTTGCTCCTGGCCGACCCGGGTTCGATTCTTCCATCCCTCTTGGAGAGCCTGGCAAGGTACCGAGAGTATCCTGCCCCCACAGCAGAGCCTGGCAAGCTCCCTGTGGCGTATTCGATATGCCAAAAACAGCAACAGTAACGGGCCTCACTTCATGTTCCTGGAGCGAGCAGATGCCATTGGGCTACACTAGCACGCGACAGAGACAAATGGAGGCATTGCTGGCGCCCGCTTGAACAAATCAATGAGCAATGGGGTGACAAGTGATACAAGTGATTTTTTTTAAATTTTATTTGCTTTTTGGGCCACATCCAGCTATGCTCAGGGGTTGTTCCTGGCTCTGCACTCAGGGCTTACTCCTGGCGGTGCTCAGGGGACCCTACGGGATGCAGCAACGAGAAGGTCAGGGTCTGGGGGAGACTCCAGCCATGTGGACAGGGGCAGTTTGCCTACTGATGTGGCCCCCAGGTCTCAACCCCCCTGGGCTGAGTACCCAACGATGGGGTCAGTGGGTCTGACTGGCAGGCACTCTTGCTCTAGGATGACAGAGTGGAGATGATTTTGTGCATGACTTTTCTTTTTTATTTACATGTCTTTGCTGTTTATTTATGGTTTGGGGGCCACACCTGGCGATGCTCAGGGGTTACTCCTGGTTTTGCACTCAGAAATCACTCCTGGAGTGCTCAGGGGACCATATGGGATGATGGGGATCGAACCTGGGCCAGCCAAGTGCAAGGCAAGTGCCAGCTGTACTATCAGTCTGGCCACCAGCTCATGAATTTTCTAGATCTTTCTGTAGGGGTTATTTTCCTGTGAGAAATACAAGCATGTATTTGTCTAGATTTTGGACCCATAGCTCTCCTCTTAATCTAAGAGGGGAGCCTGAGCCCTGAGAGTTCAGGAACCCTGGGCTGGGTCATTCTCACAGACTGCCCTTCTCTTGAGTGAAGGGGACCCATGTCTCCAGCCACCTCTATTTCCAAAGAGTGGGGAATGAATGTTCTGGTTCTGGACCGAGAGCAAAGGACCTCGTGGAAAACCTGTGCCTATCCCTAGCTATTCCTGTTTTATGCCTCTTGGGCCAGAGGCAGGAATCTGCTTGTTTGGGAGGCCATGCTTGTTGATCCTGGGGTGAGCCCATTCTCAGATCAGTGCCCACAGATTGCTCCTGGCAGTGTTTGGGGAACCATGTACCACTGGGGATTGCACCCAGGACTCTGCGTGCCAAGCCTGGGCTCACTCCCCCTAGAGCCATGTCTCTGGCCCCAGAATCTGCTAACAGGCATCTCTCAGGGCTCTGATACAAGGAGGTGGCACTGGAGCGGCTGGGCCTCCGTCAGCTTTGAAGGTGTCTGAGCAAGTTCTGCTGCTCTGGCCTGTGCGCAAGCTCACACTGGCAGCACTGCAGGAAGTGTGTGTGTGTGTGTGTGTGTGTGTGTGTGTGTGTGTGTGTGTGTGTGTCTGTGTGTGTCTGTGTCTGTGTGTGTGTGTGTGAGAGAGAGAGAGAGACAGACAGACAGAGACAGAGAGAGAGACAGACAAGCAGACAGACAGGGCCAGAAGGGATGGGGCAGAGGCAGAGGCTCCTCCCTCACAGTGGCCCACTTCACTGCCCCCTGGGCAGTGTTTTCCAACCGGACCTTCAGCTTCCCGTGCCCCCGAGAAGCTCCTGGAGCCCTGGCATCTCACTCTTGGTGATGCTTCCAAAGTTCCCGACCGTGAGCCACAGTCAGATGCAGGTGGGGGGGTGGGCAGACTCACAGGTCAAATGGAAACAGATGCTGCTTCAACCAATCACTTTCGGCATTGCCTCTGAAGTACCCCTCTGGCTTTTTTTCCCCCCATTTTGTTTGTTCACTTATTTTCATCAGGGGCTGGAGCAAGAGCACAGCGGGTAGGGCATTTGCCTTGCACGTGGCCGACCCGGGTTTGACTCCTCCGTCCCTCTCGGGAAGCCTGGCAAGCTACTGAGAGTATCCCGCCTGCACGGCAGAGTCTGGCAAGCTCCCCATGGCGTATTGGATATACCAAAAACAGTAACACAACAAGTCTCACAATGGAGACATTACTGGTGCCCGCTCGAGCAAATCAATGAACAATAGGAGGACAGTGACATTTCTTTTCATAGAGCCGGACATCGAACTCAGGGCCTTCCACATCCCTGCCTTTGTTTGAAAAATGCTCCTCTGGGGGCTGGGGAGAGCTCAGTGATGGAGCACATGCCCGTGATGGGTGAGGCTGAGGTCCAGCCCAGCACCACATGCTCCCTCCACCCCCCCCAACCCCCCGCACCGCATCTCCCACCCCTGCACCCAGCCACACAACAACACAACAGCACCGGACACTGAGCACTGAATGTACTGGGAGTGGTGGCCTGGCCACTCCCCCCCCCCCACCCCCCCCCACGCATGACTTGGCTCAGCCCCTATTTTTAACAAGTGACGAAAACCTGGTTGCAAACCACAGGCTGAAATTCACCATCCAGACTCCCGAGAAGGGCAGGAGGGAGAAGCAGTGGTTGAGCAGGCGCCGGAGTCAGGCCTCAGGCAGGGCCCACATCCTGGGCGTTGGGGCAGGCTGCAGGGACCCGCGTCCTGTCGACATCTTGCGATTCCAGACGCCACTTTCCTTGTGCATGCCGGAGTTTCCTTCTCTCTGCCCACTTCCCAAGTTGCGAGGGTTGAGTGGCGTGTCTCTTGGGAAGTGCTCTGGCAGGGCCAGTGGGTCAGGTTCCAGGCCAGGACACGATCATGGTTACAGGCACCTTTTCCCGTGAAGGACGGCCCAGCAGCTCACTGGAGCTCTGATGGGCGCTCTCTTCACTCTCGTTCACTCTCTCTCTCCCCTCCTCTCCTCCTCCTCTCTCTCCCTCTCCTTCTCCCCATCTCTCTCTTGTGCGCACTCCCTCCCTCTCTCTCTTGTGTAACTCTTTCTCTCTCCCTCTTGCTTTCTCTCCCTCTTGCTTTCTTTCTTTTTCCCTCCCTCTCTCTCTTTCCCTCTCCCTCTCTCTCCCTCTCTCTCCCCATCTCTCTCATGAATTCTCTCTTGTGCACTCTTTCTCTCTCCTCTGTCTCTCTCTCCTGCATGCTCTCTTTCTCTCTTGTACACATTCTCTTTCTCTCTTGTTCTCTCTCTCTCTCTCTCTCTCTCTCTCTCTCTCTCTCTCTCTCTCTCTCTCATTTTCTCCCTCTACCCCCACTCCTCCCACATTCCTCATTCCCTTTTCCGGATTACCAGTAAGTGGGTTCTTGAGGTGCCAGTGCCAGGGCCAGCCTTAACCTTGCAACCAGGGCCTGCCCCGCCCCTCCCGAGACTTGCCTGTGGGTCACCAACCGTTAGTGAGCAGGTCCCTCCCTGCCTGTGTGTATTTCAAGGACTTTTCAGTCCACCCAGCATCGGGTGAGCCTTGGGAATGGTGCCCCTCTCCACTGTCCACGGGGCCTTTGCTCGGCAGGTCTGACTGGGGAGTGAGGTTGGACTGAGAGCTACACATGCTGGTCTCCGGAGCTGTGGCCTTCCCTACCTGCTGACCTGCTCCACACTCCTGTGGGCATGGGAGTGACCACCAGCATTGGGCCAGCCTGCTGGGTCCTGTCTCCTTTCTCCTGCTGCAGGCCCTTTGCACCTCCACTCTGGGGGTGCAGCTGTGGTGGCCTTCGTTTGAGGACACTGAAAAGTTCCCTGAGGCCATGAACTCCCAACCCCAGGTTGCCGGAGAAAGGACCCAATGGGGGGCTCTGAGCCCCACCTCTTGGGCTGTCTACCCCTGGCCACACACACACACACACACACACACACACACACACACACACACACCACCTGTAGTTAATGATGTCAGCACCCTGCCAGGGGTGGTGAAAGGGGTCCCTGCTTTTCTCGGGGTACTCAGTCCTTGTGGCATCTCACTGTGGAGATGAGTCTGCCTGTTTGGGGGCTGAGTTCCCTGTTCCCCACTCTTGCCGACTCTGTGCTTACTCTGTCCATGTCTTTTTCAGCTTGCGAGACAACAACATCTCAGACCGAGGCATGTGTGTGCTGGTGGAGCACGCTGTCCGCTGTGAGCCTCTGCAGAAATTAGCGTACGTGAGGCGGGCGGGTGGCGGCGGGGGGGGGGGGGGGGGGGGGGGGGGGGGGGGGGGGGGGGGGATGGGCGCGGCTCTGGCCTTGGGCCCAGCCAGTGCCTCGAGGTGCAGGGCTGTCCTGGGGGGTCGCTACCCCACTGGAGGGCCTGTGGCTGGGGCTGGGGGTTCCTGCCCTGCAGGATTGGAATCCCCCGAGTGGGGGGTGTTCACTCTCCTCTGTTCCCCTCCCCCCGCCATGTCCCCTCTCTGGGCACCTTCCAGTCTTTTCAACAACAGATTGACCGACGGCTCTGCCCGCTCGCTGGCACGGCTCCTTGCTTGCAAGGGGAACTTCCTGGCATTAAGGTGAGCCTGGGACTTTCCAAGTCCTTGATTTCCCCTCCCCCCCAGCTTCTCGGCCTGTGAGTCAGCCTGGGCTGCTCTGGGGCCCCGGGCTGGCTTCCTGGAAGTGGACTCTGAACACAGCAGTGATTCTCATCAGGCTTTCCCTAGCACGGTTCCCCCCCTCCCCCCCCGGCCACCTCGGGGGCAGTTCTGCGGAGGGCTTCCCGTTGTAGGCTCTCTGAAGGGCACCAGAGTCGGAGTTGGGGTGTGTGGGAGGGTATCTCCCAGATGTCCCCTGCGTCCAATCCTCCAGCAGATCCTTTGCTGCCTGGCCAGTCTGGTGGACCCTCTATCTACAGGGCTGTCCTCAGGGGACACCTCTCTCCTACTCGGCACCATCTGATTGGCCCCAGGTGGGCCTGGCTTCAGTCTTGTGTGGGATTGTTCTTTCCTCCTGGATTGACAGGGCAGGCAAAGGATATAAGCAAAGAGTGGCCGCTGCCCCACCAGCCAGCAGGGACCTTCGCTGTCCATGTGTGGCTGAGTGTCAGAGCCCAGAGGTGTCACTCTGAACTCCATGTCCTGTACCTGCTCCGCAGACTCTGTGGCCAGCTGTGACCACAGTTAGGCTTGTCCCACCCCCAGGGAGGTCTGTGGAGGTAGCTGGTGGTGCTGGACTCTGAGATTTGGGCCAATGGAGCACTGTTCTTTTGAGCGTGGGGTTCTGGGGCCAGCCTTACTGAGGTTTGGATCTAGGATCCTTGGGTTTGAAGCCACATTTGTTGTGTGACCTGTTGTGACCTCAGAGTATCTGTGGCTATTTCCTCTACTGTTATTTTATGTGGCTGAGCCTTGAACCCAGGGCCTCACCCAGCAAAGGCAGCACTCCACCACAGAGTCCCATGCCTGGTCTCCAGGCTGCTTCTGGAAAATGGGGACATCATCATTCCAGAGATTCATACGTAGTCGTGGGATGGAGCTCAGGCGCTTTGGAGAGAGACCTTCCTAGAACTTAGGGAATCACTGGAGCTTGATCCCCGGCTGAGCTGGTCTCCTGGAGGGGCTTAGTGCTTTTACAAGGGAAGTGCTTGAGAGGAGATGGCCAGACCCTAGGGGAGGCTGGGTGGTTGCTGAGGGAGAGGGCAAGGAGGGAAGGTGTCTTAGTGCAGTTCTCAGCAGCACAGAGATCCGGGAAACCCCCCAGCCCTGGGCCCCGTGGCCCTACTCCTATTCCAGTGCCCAGTGCTCTGGGAACAGCCCGTGGGCCTCGAGGGCTAGGGCCCCTCCGTGCAGCGCCAGACCTTTGGTCTGAGGGCTGAGAGGTCCCTTCTCAGGAGGGAGGAGTCACTTTTCCCTGCAGCAGTGTGTGAGCCTGAGCAGAAGGAGGCCAAAGGAGCTTTGGAAAGTGAAAGTGGATTGTTTCTAGGAAACCAGAAGTTGTGAGTGAGAGTTTGGGAGCTCTCAGCAGTGTCTGGACTTGGCTGAAACCCCCCTCCAGTGCCTGCACAAAAGCTCCCCAGACCCTCTTTCTCCCAACTGCCCGGTCCAGCTCTGGGGACCAAGCTACAGCACCTGCAGCAAAGGGGAACCCAGAGACGATGGGTGGGTTCGCGCCTGGCTCAGGTACCTCAAGTGTTGAGGCCAGGAGGACTAGGTGTGACCGGGAGTCCCCTCGCTCCAGGAGACCCCCTCTAGCTGGGACTCTGTCAACACCTGGCCACCAGGTGCAAACAGCCCTGCCACCACCTCTGCCCATTGGCCAGCAGAGCGCGGTCTGGGAGCCGTGGGTGACGTGGGTGACGGAGCACTGGCAGCGGGCTCTGTCTGTGTCTGCAGCCTGAAGCTCAGGCGCGCTCCCCCTGCTTGCCTCAGCTCTGGTCTTCCCTTCCAGGCTGGGCAATAACCACTTCACTGCCGCAGGCGCCCAGGTGCTGGCCGAAGGCCTCCGAGGCAACGCCTCCCTGCAGTTCCTGGGGTAGGTGGATGGGGGCCGGGTGACCCGGAGGTTGGATGTTGGGCTGGCGGAGGATTTAGGGGTGGAGGAACCTTCTTCTTCTGGAAACTTCATGCTCCGGGGGCAGCCCAGGCTGTAGAGGGGAAGGCAAGGCAGATGCCTGAAGAGGAAATTGGGGCTCAGGGTTGGGTGGGGGGAGGGCACCAGAAGGGGTTTCGTGATCACACTGGACGCTCCCACCCACACAGAGGGACTCACTGACACAGATTGTATTGATCTTTTCAGGTTCTGGGGGAACAAGGTGGGTGATCAGGGGGCGCAGGCGCTGGCTGAAGCCTTGGGTAACCACCAGAACCTAAAGTGGCTCAGGTAAGCCCCAGGGTCTTTCCTGCAGTTGGCACAAAGGATGAGCATGGGCTGGTTATTTTTTTTTTTATTTATTTATTGGCTGCACCCAGTGAAAAAACTCGGCAGTGTTCAGCACTTACTCCTGGCCCTCTGCTCAGGAATTACTCCTGGTGATTCTCAATGGATCACGTGGGATACCAGGGCTTGAATCCCAGTCAGCTGTGTGCGAGGCAAGCACACACTCCCCACTGTCCTATCACTCCAGCCCTGGTTTTGGTTTTAGTCTGGATTTGAGGGGCTTTGCATCTCCTTTGTTCCTGACCCCCCTGCATCAGACCCCCGACATTAGGAAGTCTGGAGGACTTGGAGGGAGGATGCTTGAGCCTCCCTGGGTGACTTGGCAATGTCCCCTTTCCGCTCTGGGTCTCGGCTCTGCTCAAGGTCTTGGCTCTGCTCAGACTGGAGGTTGAGGCTGTGTCAGATGCATGCTGACTTGGGCAGCCCCCTAGCAGTGACCCTCAGTGACGTGTGTGGGAAGGGAGCCCGGGGCTGCCTGGGTTCTGGTGACACGGCACTGTGGGTGGGGTCTGATGTGCAGCAGGTGAGGACAGTCAGGCCCAGGCCCTTCCCCTGTGGACTTACCTTGACAGTCTTCCCCTTCCGGCTCTAACGTGTTCTCACTTCCCCCTCCCCCTGGCCCCCCCCCCCCCCCATCCAGCCTGGTGGGGAACAACATTGGCCGTGTGGGCGCGCGAGCTTTAGCAATGATGTTGGAGCAGAACATGACCCTGGAAGAACTCTGGTGAGTGTGGGGGACTTGTCGTTCCTGGCCTCCCCGCTGGGCCGGTGTGACTAAGGGAGCCTGGCTGATGGGCTGCTTCTGGGCTTCTCTCTCTGTCCTGGGCACCACGGAGCTTGTGGACCCTGACATGGAGGTGCTTCTGCCTTTGGTTGATTTGTCCTGGTTGGTTTGTGGGGGTGCTCACTGCAGCGGTGTGGCCTAAGGTTAAAAACACAGACTCTGAAAGTAGATCAAGGACCAAATGTGATAGCCTCTCAGTATCTATATCGCAAACCATAATGCCCCAAAGTAGAGAGAGAGTCTGCCATAGAGGCAAGGGGAGGGTTGGGAAGGAAGTGGGGGATACTGGGGACATTGGTGGTGGAAAATGTGCACTGGTGGAGGGATGGGTGTTTGATCAGTGTATGACGGAAACTCAAACATGAAAGCTTTGTAACTGTTTCACACAGTAATTCAATTAAAAACAAAAGTACAGAAACTCTGGAGGCCTGGTGTGTGGGAGGGGGCGGGGTGCGTGGCGATTTGGAGCTCAGTGAGTGAAGACCTTGCCTTGCTGGCAGGGAGCCATGACTTCTATTGCCAGTGTCAACCTCTACCCGTAGTGGTTGCCCCTGGCAGCTCTGCTGAGAGTAATCTCCAGCTAGGTATGTATAAGCATCTCAGCTAAAGGCACCATGGCCCGGGGGCAGGGATAGTGATAGGGGCTGGAGAGCAGACTCTGCTTGGGGAGGACCCCGGGCCAGTCCTGGCATCATGGGGTCCCCCAAGCATTACGAGGGTTGATGAATCCCAACCCTGGAATAGTACCAGGAGCACTGCCAGGTATGGATCCCAAACCATCGAACACATTGCACAAAAAGGGTGATACCAAAGCAAGATGGAGTGATAGCACAGCGGGAGGGTATTTGCCTTGCACGCAGCCAACCCAGGTTCGATCTCTGGCATCCCATATGGCTTCCTGATTATGGCTAGGAGTAATTCCTGAGTGCAGAGCCAGGAATAATTACCTCTTGCATTCCCTGGGAGTGACCCAGAATGGAAAAAAAAAAAAAAAGGTGATGCCTTTGACAAAGTTCAAGTTACCCAATCCCATGTAGGACTGTAGGTCAGGGAGGTGACAGCGTCCACAGGGAGACAGGAAGCAGGAAAAGAAAAAGAACTTAGATCTTGGCATCTCCAGGCTGGGTGTCCAGGTTGGCAGTGACTACACACACATTCAGTAACAAGTAACAAGGTACTCTAAAACAGGGCCAGTTGGGCTTCTCGCCAGAAACCCTGTGAGAACATAACATCAAGGGTGGGTGGCGCTCCACCCCCTCGAGATGCAGGTTCCTCTCTCTGCTGCTGCTCCGGTGACTCCCAACACTTCATGACTTCTGGGGGTGTGAGGCCAGAGTCAGTAGCACTGTGGCAGGTGGGGTGGAGTTTGGGGGAAGTTTAAAAGCTGAACTCTGAGTCATATCTACACTATGCGCTTGAAATTCCTTCCAACTTCTCTGTCCTTCAGCTATCACTGGCACAATCTTCTCCCCCCACCCCCTTTTTTCTTTCTTTTTTGGCTTGTTTGTTTAGGTGGAGCGGGGAGGGGAGTAGGAACTTTCTAGGTTGCAGGAGGCCCTGGGGTTTCTGTGGGCAGTATACAAGACAAATGCTCTACCTGCTGTACTATCACTAGGCCCCTCTGCCAACAATATATGGCCCAGTGGTAGGGGCATGACAATTTGGTGCTCAGGCCTGGTGATTCAAAATTGCTGCGGGGGGGTGGGGGGGCGGGGTGGCGGGAACAAGGGGCTGGAGAGATAGCACAGCAGGGAGGGCCTTTGTCTTGCACGCGGCCAATCCCGGTTTGATTCCCAGCATCCCATATGGTCCCCTGAGCACTACCAGGAGTAATTTCTGAGTGCAGAGCCAAGAGTAAGCCCTGAGCATCGCTGGGTGTGACCCAAAAGAAAAAAAAAAATTGCCAGGGCTCAACACCCCAGTGGGTCCAGTATCCAAACCCACCACAATTGGTGGTGCACAGGGGGCCACACAGTGCTGGGGATCAAAGTCGGGGTCTCTGCCTATACACACACAGTCCAGCCTCCCTGAGTTCTCTCCTTGCCCTTGGATTAGGTGATTTTTATCTTGGGGGCCACACCTGGTGTTGCACAGGGTTTGCTCTTGGTTCTGTACTCAGGAATCAATCCTGGAAGGCTTGGGGGACCATATGGGGTGCCAGGAATTAAACCTGGGTCAATCATGCGCAAAGCAAGCTCCCTACCTGCTGCACGAATATTGTTCTGACCCCTGAATTTGTATTTTTATGACACATTTTGGGAAGTTGAGCAGGGTGCTTGCCTTGTGCACTGCTGACCTGGATTTGATCTCCAGCACCCTCTATGGTCCCTTGGATGTCAGTGGACCCCACGGGTGGCTCATGTGAGTTGGGAGGAGAAAGACGGTCACTTTCTCCCGATTCGCCTCTGTCACCTAGGACCTAGGGGTACTGCCTTCTTGTCTCTCTCACAGAAAAGAATTTCAGGAGGAGACAAGCAGTAAAGTAAAACATATTTTATTTGGAGGGTTTTTGAAAGTGTGGAGGGGAGAGAGAGAGGGAGAGAGAGAGAGAGAGAGAGAGAGAGAGAGAGAGAGAGAGAGAGAGAGAGAAATATGCTCAAGAGAGAATACAGGACTTCTCCAAGGGTGGAGAGAGCCCCTACACACATCCCAGCATTAGACAGGAAAGTATGAAAGTACACCTCTCAAGAGGGGAGATAGATGTGGGTGACATATGTGCTCAGCCACCACATGGATTCGGGCAGCATATGTGCACCCTCCCTTTGTTCAAGGTGGCTTTTATAGGCTCGTCTCAGGTTGTCTTGATCTGGAAGTTCTGGAGTCTTCTCGGGCTGCATCACTAAAGTTAAGGGAGAGATCCAGGATTTAAGGAACTTCATGGGGGAGGGGTCCAATCTCCTTAGGATCCACTGCTGAAGGTCTTATCAGATCTCTGTTTTTCATATCCACAGGGTGGATCAGTCTTAGAATTTTCCTCCCAGAAGTTTTGTTGTCCTAAGTTTCATTGCTGAGGGCCTTTCCCTCTTTATCTTCCTATATCACCTCAAACCCACTAGGAATGATCCCTGAGGAGTAAGCCCTGGGCATTGTTGGGTGTGGCCCCAAAACAAAACATTTTGGGAAGTTCCAAATTATTCCTAAAATTCAACATATTTGTTCTAATAGACAGAAAACATATTTGTTCTAATAGACAGAAAGGCTCAGAAACCTATGAACAGGATCCCAGAAATAAATTCAGTGGAGGACGGGCCTTGGCTGTTGGCCAAGCTCACTGCCTTATAGCCTCAGTGTGTCTATCTTAACACTGATCAGACACCCATGTGCCAAGTCTCTTCTCTTGGGGGATGGTGTGGGGGGCAGTGGCCTGCCTTCACTCTGTCCTGCCTCACCGCACGTGGTTCCATCCTGCACTCTCCTTTGTGTGCCAGGAGTCCCCGTGAAGGTGCAGGAAGGACCCCCAGCCAGGGCCAGCAGCTTTCTGTCTAGAGAGCTTGTCCTCCTACCCCATCTGCCAGTTTCTCCTGTTCCCTGGCCAGCTGGAGGTCACTGGCCACCTTGACTGTGGGCGTAGCTGGGACATGTCATGGTCTCAGCAAGCACTTGACTGCCCCACAGGAAGTGGCATCCCTAAGTAGCACGAGAGGCCAACAGCTCTCGGGTCCCAAGGACAGGTGGGAGCTTGGTGGAGGCACTGAGGGGTACATTTCCTCCCCCAGGTGCCTCTGCAGTGAGAATCCTTCCCTCCTGCCCTTTCTAATCACACCTGAGCCATCAGGGTGGCTTCTCCCAGCAGGGAGCATGTGGGCTAAGCTTTAGTGCCGTCACTTCCGCTATCAGTGTTGCCATGCCAACTAGCTTCTCTTTCTTGTTCTTGCCAGTCTGGAGGAGAACCAGCTCCAGGACGAAGGCGTATGTTCTCTCGCTGAAGGGATGAAGAGAAACTCCAGTCTGAAAGTCCTGAAGTAAGAAACCCGCAGAGGAGCCCACCCGGGGCAGCACTGACCGGCCTCTGGAGGGGATTTCCCTCCCTCCCTCCTCCAGGGCTCCCCTCCAGAAGCCAGCTAGAAAGCCGGGCGAAGGGGGGGACCATCTGGTTCTCCTCAATGTAGACACTGATCCAGCTGCTGTTCACTGAGGAGGGACCAGCTCACCATGCTCAGAGAGGAGTGAGGCCAGCTGGGACAGGCAGGGCACCCCTAGATGGGGTCTTGTCAAGTTGCTTAGCACAGCTGGTGGGCGGGGGGGGGTTCAGAACTGTTGGGGACCCAGGAGCTTGTACCCAACAGAGGATAGAAGCAGTGTGTATGGGTGTGGGGGTTAGCCCCCAGCTACCTGTGCCTGTGTGTTGACTTGTAGTCACAGAGTGTTACTTCTGGCTTTCCCTGTATGAGTGTGAGTGAATTGCCTGGCACCTGGGGCCAGTAAATAGACTTGCAGGTGGAGGAGAGGCTGTCCAAGTGAGCATCTCTCTGCGTTAGGGTGAAAACGTCAGACTATGGGGATCACAAGCAGCATCTGCGACAGGATGGGTGGGCTCGCAGGAAGTCCTCCTGCCACTGACCAGAGCCACCCCCTGCATCTCCGGAGATTCCCTGCACTCTGCAGCCAGACACCTGTGATCACGTGCACATCCCTGCATTCACTGGTCATGTGTTCTAGTCTTTATTTCACCCCTTCCCCACCACCATGTGTGCATAGAAGCAACAGGTGCTCCCTACAACACCCACCCTGTGCAGGAGCTCTTGGGAGCACCCAAGGGAGAGGGGGAGAAAGTACCTTATGGAGCCCAGCTCACACTGTTCTTTTTTTTCTCTTTGGGTCACACCCAGCGATGCACAGGGGTTACTCCTGGCTCATACACTCAGGAATTACTCCTGGCGGTGCTCAGGGGACCATATGGGATGCTGGGAATTGAACCTGGGTCAGTCGCGTGCAAGGCAAACGCCCTACCCACTGTACTGTCACTCCAGCCCTCGCACCATTCTTAAGTTCTCACGAGCACGTGAACAGATGCATGAGGTCATACATGGGGGCAGTGAGGGCTCTGAGGAGAATTCAGAAGGAAAATCATGGGCAAAGGGGCTGGGGCGAGGCAGTGGCCGGGGTGGCCTTAGGCAGGCCATCCTGTGAGAAGGTGATATTGGTGAAGTAGCCAGAGGTTCCCTGGTGCTGGGTCCCTGGAGAAGTGCATGCCAGGTGGGTGGATAGGATGGCAGCAGAGGCCCAGGAGAGGCCCAGTTGGGGGGACCGAGAGGAAAACCACACAGTGGGCTTGTTGCGGAGGGTGCATGGCTCCGAGGACTCAGCCCCGGGGGGAGACGTGGGTTTTCTCCTCGGGCACGAGGAGCTGTGGGAGTCTTGAATCGGGGCAGGAAGGATCATCTTGCTGCTCAGCGCAGATGGGAGTGGGGAGGCGGAGGCGGAAGAGACACACGAGGACCCCGGGGCTGTCCAGGCAGGCAGTGGGGGGAGGCTGGCACCTGGGAGGGGACAGTGTGAAGCTTGGTGAGAAGTGGAGGTGTGGGTGGGGGGGTACAGGGACAGTGTGGGTGGGCCACTGGTGGTGGATGGCCAGGGAATCGTGCCCCGTGGAGGAGGAGAGTAGGTGAGAGCAGGGCCCAGCTGGTGCCTGTCACGGGCTGGGTACGTGCCACCTGAATTGGCACAGTGTCCACCCGTTGCCAAAAGTGCCATTCATAGGGACTTCAGGGTATCAACCTACAACGCCCCCTTGCTCGAGGAGGGTGGCAGCTACCCTGGCAAGCAGGACCCGAGCTCAGCGCAGATGGAAGTGGGGAGACGGAGGCCCAGTGCCCTGGGCTTTCACAGACAAGAGACTACTGTGTTCCAGGAGAGGGCAGCTCGCCATGCACGCTGCTGCCAGCCCGCCATACACTCTGGCAGTCTTTGTTTGCGTTGCTTGGGGGGTGGTGGTGGGACTCATGAGTTGCCATATGTTTGGGGAAACACTTGCATGTGTCACTTGGGTGAAACAGTCGGGAGGTAGGATTAGTCAGATCTGGGACAACACGCTTAGAATACAGGTCCTGGGACCACCCGTGGGTGCGGCAGACCAGGCATGATGGATGTGGCCCTTGTGTCCTCTGTATTGCCACAGACATACCCACACAGATGAGGGCCTGCCCCCTGCCACATTGCTTGCAGAGTCTGTCTCATCCCGTGTCCCCAGCTCCAGTGTCTCTGACCACTTCCCTTTCAGAAGCGAGACTTTCTCACGAGCAGAAAGCAACCCAGGCCTCTTTTTCTGGGCATCTTCACCGCCAACCGTTGGTCAGAGTGGGATCTGGAGCCCGCAGCTTGCTGAGACTGCTGCCTCCCCCCCCCCCCCGCCCCCCAATGCCAGCTCCCCTCAAGGAGGAGAGCCCAAGTTGTCCCCCATGTGTGTGTGGTGAGGGGCTGTCATGGGCCCCTCCTCCCAGAGAGTGTTCTGAGGATGTAGGAAACAGCTGGACGTGGGGATCTTGGAGCTGCCCAATCCCCCTCCTCCCCCACCCATTCCCCCATTAATATTTCCTGACAGTCACATTTGAGAAGTACAGGCTGGGGAAGGAGGAGGGGAAGGCAGTGAGAATTATCTAAAGCAGTTTCCTCCAGTGCCTATACTGCCCCCACAGACACCCTGAAATCAAGGGTGGGGGGAATGACCTGCTGGTATGACTATGGGAGGGACTATTTGATCCCTTGAAGGTAGCTTTCCAGGGGGCTACTGAGTGGCCCCCTTTTGTTTGGCCAAGGCTCTAGTGGGCCAGCTAAGTTTGGAGCCCTTCACTCTGGAGGGTAAAGCAGTGAGCAGAAGTGCCCCTTCAGAGGGCCGGGCTCTTTCTTGGGGTCCCTGACTGCTGAGCACTCTCCCAGCTTCTTGTGCCTATGTTTTGGCACCAACAAGGTTCAGATCAGAACTACTCTTTGCTCTTCATTGACTGTTTTCAACCAGTGAAGTCAGGGCCATGTGCGTGGAAATAACTGTTCTGAGGCTCCTTCCCTGAGGTGGGCAGTGACTGGGGGTGGTGATCAGGGCTGATTCTCTGGCTGTCAGATGAGCCCCGGGAGGAACCCAGGAAGCCTGGTGCTGACACTTCTGTGTGATATCTGGGAGTGGGTGATAGGCTCAGCAGAGGAGCCCGGCAGGTGGTTGAGGGGGCCTCATTCTGCATCTGTGCAGGATCCTCCAGGATCCCTCCAGAGACCTACCACTGGGGGAGCCTCGTTCCCGGGGGGCCACGTCCCCAGAGCTGAGCTTTTCTGCAGCTTCACTCTTCCTCTTCCTCCTTCTCTCCAGGCTGTCCAACAACGGAGTCACCCATCTCGGAGCCATGGCCCTCCTGCAGGCTCTCGAAAGGAACGACACCCTCCAGGAAGTCTGGTAGGCTCCCAGCAAGCCTCCTCTGTTGCAGGGGGTGGGTGAGAGGGGAGAGGGGCGCTCGGAGCTATACCCAGCCCTGTGCTCCTGGGGACACGGGGTGCTGGGCATCAGGCCTGAATCTCCCACATCCAAGGCATGTGCCCACTGAGCCATCTCTTTGCCCCCCACCATGAGTCCTTATTGCGGGTGCTGGAGGAGAGGTGGGCATAGGGATGGGGGTGGGAGTGGGGAGATTGAGGCAAAGAATTGAGAGGAAGAGGACTGAGCTTCTGCCTTCACAAGCCCAGCCTGCGGGATCTGCCCCTCTGCCCTGCTGGATTCTGGTTACTCGGAGTAGAGTCTATCACACAGCATAGATAAGACGATGGAATTAAAAGCCATGTTCCTGCCCATATTTGGGAATGCACTAAATCACCCTTCAGAGCGGTACCCCTTCTCCTCCCAGGTATATTTATGGCTTAGATCATCCCAGAAAGGTTTGCCTGGGTCTAACATGTTAGATAAGCGAGTGCCACTATATAGGTCCAGGCATTGGGCGAGAAATCAAGATGATGAAAAACCTATGAGAAACCTCCGAAAAAAAAAATTGGATTTATGGTTTAGACTCAAAGCCCTGGCTCCATGGTAAAGGACAGCAGGCCAGAGAAGCCGAGGAAGGCCTGGTCAAACCCCTGGCCTGCCTTGTGTCAACCTGCCTCATCGCTGCAAACTTCTGAACTCACTTCCGACACGCGGATTCATCCAGTCATCAAGAAAAAAAAGCCCATCAGGGTGGGCTGAATGGCTCAGTAGTGGATTTCCTGCCTTGTATATTTGAGGGTTTGATTCTGGGCACCACAAAAACAGTCACCATCAACAAAAGTATGCCCAGGCCATAGTACAGGGGGCAAGACAGGATCCTGGGCACCCTGCATGGTCCCTTGACCTCTGCCAAGAGTGATCCCTGAGTGCAGAGCCAGGGTTAAGGCCTGAGCCCTACTGAATGTGACCCCCCCTACCCCTACCCCCCACATATGTCCAGGCAGTAGCATTTGCATGTTTCAGATACAGCTGAGAATCAAGACTTTGAACACCGTCTGGCGATGGAGTGTGGGTCCTCCCCAGAGCCTGGAGGTCCGCAGGCCCCACAGAGAGTGTGCGCTTGGCTTTGAAAACCACCGGCGTCCTCAGAAACTGCACATTCTTTGTGTGTGTGGGCCTGTGAGGGGGCAAGCAGGCCAGCTTCTGTTGGTATTTTAAGGCTTCTGATGTTATCTGTGGCCTGTTGTCCAAGCTGGGGAGATGGCAGGATGTGCTCATCACATTCTTGACCCATTCTGCTGTTGCCTTAAAAAGAATCACCAGCCCCAGGGAGTCAGGGCCACGGGCGGGGCGGGGGACAGTGTGGACTCTCCCATTAGTCCCCCTGGCGCGGTTCCACCCTGCACAGTGGGCTGGCAGTGGGTCCAGCAGCGCAGATTTCTGTCGCCGGGGTGCCATGGCCCCCTGGGTCAGGTTTAGGAAGCATCTGCTCTGCATCACGCCCGCTCACATCTCTCTGCTGTCTCCGCAGGCTCCGAGGCAATGCTCTCTCTCCAGAGGAGCTGGAGAAGCTCAGCCACCAGGACACCAGGCTCTTGCTTTGACAGTGCTGGGCTGACCGCTCACGAGAGCCATGAAAAGCAAGAGCCCAGAGGCTGGAGTGCCCGCAGCAGCAGTGGTAGCCTGGGTAGGGCCTCCACATTGATCAGGGGGCACCCTTGGTCCAGTTTGCCTCTGGCAGTGTAAGCGGTACCAGGCCTCTACATGGCCCAAGTCTGTTCGTTCCTGCTGTCCAGTATGCTCCAAGGCTCATTCGGAGAGAGAGAGGCCGCCAGCTGATGGGATGGGGCGGCAGGGCTGGAGCTGCAGAGACCAACACACTCCCCCAGCTCCTCACAGGGAGAGCTGCCTCCAGCCACGCCTCAGCCCACGGCCCCCAGCCATGCTGTTTCTCCATCTGCTTCCCTGCAGCCTGGGCAACTGCACTGGCCCTGCCTCCCTGGTGGCTGAGGATTGAGAGAGAAGGTTGCTCCCTTCTCAGCGTTAAAGCCTCCTTTCTGGCCTCCCACCCCAGCAGGGAGGCACCACACCTGTTCTTTCTTTTACTGAAGACAGCGTTGGATCACCACGGACTCGGATCCCAAACCCATTCCTCATTCGCAAGCAAAAATAGGACCACACTACAGCAGATACTTCCCTGGGAGATCCATTTGCAATGAAGTCAAATCTGCTCCAGATAACCCTTTTGGAAACTACTGACCATCCAAATGCAGCTTTTTTTTTTTTTTAAAAAAACACATGCAGCTGGGCTGGGATTTTATTTATTTTTCTGGGTATTTTTTTGTTTTAATTATTATTTTTAAATTTTGTTGACCTGGACTTTTGAATAGACTCCGCGAGGTCAGGGACTCCCCAAACGTGTTCCTCAGATACAGTCTCTTGCACAGTCCAGAAGGTGTTAAGTTGTCAAGTTGTGGATCCAAGAGGTTTGCAGGGACAGCATCAAATGCCTTCCCTGTAAAGCCCATATTTTTCTCCATTTTTCTAAATGATGCTGGTTGTAGCCTTTGCAAGCTGTCAGATGCTGCACACATGTACTTGAAATATTATTTGTGAAAACTGGTAAATATTTTTATAAGCCACTTTGTTTTATTCTCCCAAGTTTTTATTTTTAAAGAAAAAAAAAACGTGACTAGGGATTTTTATGTTCTAAATTGCCACAGAGGAGAGAACGATTGAGTCACCAAAGTGATCTACGGTGTGACCAAACATTGAAAAATGTTCTTGAAAGTTGTCAAATATTAAAATACACTTTGCTGCTTGAAGGATAAAAATGATTTTTGCCATCAGATAGTGTATTGCTTAAGGTAAAAGCAATTCTTAGAAATAACCTTGCAATCAAAACACATGTGCCTTTGGCTTAGAGAAGTTGCTTCCACTTCCCTGCCCACCCCCCACCCCAGCTGGAGAGATAGTCCAGTGGGTAGGGCGTTTGCCTTGCACATGATCGACCTGGTTTTGGTCCCCAGCATCCCATATGGTCCCCTGAGTACTACCAGGAGTAACTCCTGAGCACTGCCAACTGGGTCCCCAAAACAAACAGACAAAAGTTCCCTCAGTAACCCCTTGTGGGATGTATAATCTGTGTAGCAGCCTGAGGACCCCTGCAAAGGACTACACCACGAACCCCGCTTCACTTCTCTCCTGGTAAATAGGTCCAGGAGACTTTCACTGGAGGAGCACTGGGAAGGATGGAGGTGCAGTCAGGAGCCTCAGAGAACAAGTCCCTGGGCAGGCCTTGTGAAGTAGGTCATCTGTAGCTGCATCCAATGTGCTAGGGCTCAGGTGAAAGGTTTTGTGTGCTTTTGGTTTACTAAATGTGGCAGCATCTCCCCAGGCCTCTGTGTGAGCACGTCTGTGGCTTCTCTTGGTTGCCGATGAACTCTGACCAGACTGTTGTTCCCGTGAACAGAGGTAGGAGGAAGATGGAGACGGGCCCGCTTGTCTCAGGAGTAAAGACAGCCACCCCACTGCAGAGCTCTCTCTCCCATGGCGCCCTCATCCTCCTTCCCTGAGCCTCTGCCTCAGGGAAGAACAGGGGCTGTGAGAGGGGCCGAACCAAGGCAGCTCCTGGTCCTGTGAAACTGTGAATGCTGCATGATTTGGCAGGAGGGCCTTGAAAGGTGTGAAGGAGGATCTTGAAATGGAGGAGATTATGCTCAAGGATCGGAGACCCTGAATGACAGTCACAGATGCCATAAGAGAGAAGCAAAGGTAGATTTGACCCAGAGGTAGGCAGTGTGGCCGTTCACGCAGTGGCTTCTGCCACTGGCTTTGCAGCTGGGAGAAGGGACTTATGGTCCAAGGGATGCAGCTCTGAAGTTGGAAAAGGCAAGAACAGATTGTTTTCTAGAATCTCCAAAGGATGTTTAGCTCCGCCGCTATCTTGGCTATATATAGCCTATTTTAGACTTCTGGTCTTTGGCACTGGCAGAGAATTAATTTGTCACTCTAAGTCACTGACTTGGTATTTTGTTATAGCACCCATAGGAAATGGGTATAGTCTGTGAGCGAAGGGAAGAGAGTTACAATATGGGTTTGTGGACATAGGGCCAATTATGGAGGACCCATTAGTCATGGTCAATATATGGAGTTTGGTTTTAGGACAATGGAGAGCTACCAGAGAGTTCTAAGGAAGGGACCCAGGACATAGCTACAGTAGGGTAGATCACACTTGCTCCCGGATGGAGAAGGGACTAGAATGCATAGGTGGGAGTGAGTAGAAGAGGGAGTGGGCTGGGGATCGAAGGTGGAGTCCCTGGAGGTGGAGATGAAGGATGGAATTCAGAGACATTAGATTCTCAAGGGATTCCATGTAAATTGAATAAGAGGAATGAGGAAAAGGGAAGAATCAAGGTTGGAAGACTCTAATATCTGTGACTTGTATAATGAGCACTGGGGAAGATGGTGTTTGGATGAAACACATTTTGTTGTGGAAGAGACTTCCATTTTGCACCCTCCAGAGACAAAGTGAAAAGCCAATTAGGGACATAAAGTTATGGTGGGGTCTGGAGCTAGTGGGATCCCATCTTTGTCCACATGGGTGTCCTCAGCACCATGAAAGAAACAGGGTACAGGGGCCTGGATGGCATCATCACAAAAAGAGCTGGGGCCGGAAGATGGCTGAAGCCCTGAAACTCATGCCTAGCACCAGACCCTGAGTTCCATCCCTGGCACCACCATAAACAAGCTTATAAAAGAACAAAAATACATAGAGGTAATGGAGAACATTCTCTCTCTTGGAGATTTGTTCTCATTTGTACCTGAGATGAGAAGCCCATGTTCTCCCTTGAACAGGCATCTCTCGGTCTCTCCCCACTACTACACGAAGCAATTTTCACTCCATCATTTGTCTCCTTCTGAAATCATTTTTGTGAGGGAAGATGACACTGGAAAACCTGTTTGGACATGAGGATTGCCTTTCCTTTTCCTACAAGAGTAATTCCTCTCTCCATCCTGAGTCTACAGGTGACTTGAGAACTGGAGACCCTTTTCCTCACTGTACATCAAGTGGACTTTAGGTGCAGTCTCATGGTGCCCAGTGGAGCTGCTAGGATATTAGTATCCATGCTGCATAGATGCTGGTGGAAGATTTCACTGGTCCCAATCTTACCAGGCATTTCCCTGGTGACCCAAGGTGCATCCAGCAGGGAGGTGGGAACACTATTTCTTTTTTTTTTGAGGCTGGCTGCCTCCTACATCACCTGCAATATTTGGCAAGGTAGCCAGCAGTGGTGAGACCTACACCATAATTCACAGCCACCCAGGAGACCTACTTCTTTTTGGGGGCCACTCCCTTCATTGTGCTTTATTCTCTCTTTGGAAAAGCCTGAATTCTCTTGAGCAGTTTTCTCTCCCTTTAAATAAAATGTCTTTATTTTTTAAATTTTGTTTTCATCATTTTTGTGAGGGAAGATGACGCTAGAAAACCTGTTTGGACATGAGGATTGCCTTTCCTTTTCCTGCAAAGAGAATTCCTCTCTCCAGCCTGAGTCGACAGGTGAATTTGAGAACTGGTGACCCGTTTCCTCACTGAGTACATCATGTGGATTTTAGGTGTAGTCTCAATTTTAAAATTGGATCTCAATTTTAATTTTACTTTATTTAAACACCATGGTTTACAAAGTTGTTATAGGCACTCAATGTTCAGACACCAATTCCCGCCACCAGTGTGACCTTCCTTCCCTCCACCATTGTCCCCAGCTTCCTAGCTATCCCCAAGCCTGTCCCCTTAGCAGGTATACAATAATTTTATGTTGCTCATTACAACTAAATGGCTAATGGAATTATCAAAAATTATTTCAGTAAGATAAAATTTGTGAACATTGTGCTTTATCTCACCAGAGGGTCATTAGATCTTTATCTGAGGGTTTACTAAGATGTTTGTTGCTAGTTGAGTCCTCTGTGTCACTGTTTTTGTTTACTGGCCTTAGCTGGATTCTATCTTACTTTCCCATCTAATTTGCTGTGCTCCTACTGGGTGTCAGCTCTGTGGAATTGGGAGATGTTGTACAGCCATGTATGTAGGCATGTGCTCCAGGAACACCAAGATCTGTAGAACTGGGCTGATGAGTTTACATGGCAACTGTGGGATTTGGGTGTGGATGCTGAGATTTCTGGACATATGGGGGTGAAGACCTCAGAATTTCAGCCAGAAAACCAATGAACTTGGTTTGGCAAGTTAATCTGTAGCTGAATCTAATGTGTAGGATGTGGAACTATCAAAAGTTCTGCATTCATTGGTTTGGCATCGCTGCAGAGATTAGTTGTGAAGCAGTGGAATTGGGCTATGGGCATGGTGGCATCTGTGGGGTGTGATGCAGCTGCCAGGACTTTCGCAGGGAGGGCATGTGGCCTGACCCTCCTGAGAATGGCCCCAGAGTGTTTAGGCATGGACCAGGTACCTGAGAATTTTTGCAGCTTGGCTTGCATCTCTTTTGAGATCAGTCGTGAATCTGCAAAACTGGGCAGCGTGGGTGTGGCTCATAAATAAAATTTATTTATTGAAATAAAGGTAAATAGATCTAAGAATAGAGGGACGATTGAGACTAGAGAGGACTTAAAATAGAAAACAATCAGTTATATTAAAAAAATAAAACTGACATTTATTAATTCTGAGCTTGAAATTTTTTATTTATTTGCTTTTGGACCAAATAAATTGTGGTGCTCAGGGCTTACTCCTGGCTCTGTGCTCAGAAATTACTTCTGATGGTGCTCAGGGAACCATATGTAGTGCCAGGGATTGAACGCATGCCAGGCAAGTGCCCTACCCTGTGT